ATTTGGTTATTAATGCATCAATGTTGGCAACTTTTATCGGAAAGTCGGAAATTGAGTTAAAGTTTACGAGTTTATTCAGAAATATTGACAATTTCCTCTGCCAACGCAATAAGTGCTACACCAACACACAACAAAAGATAAAAGTTACAGTTTGGGTCTCATCACCAAAAGTTTACAGATAAACCAAATATCTCGAAACGCCCCTGAAATATGAGACTGTGGAAGACTTTTAAGTAAGCAAATTTTACTTCCAAATATTTTGTTTATTCATGCAACCCGGTATATTGAATTATTATTTGCTCAAGTCGACTGTGATTTTTAGACTTTTTTAGACAACATATTTTTTTTTTGGCAATGGGTTCATGCGAAAAAAATTATCACTGCGAGATCAAAAAGTTGATTTTTTAAGACCACGCCGTAAATAAACGAGACGAGCAAAAAAATAAAAAATGCCTTTTGAGGTCTTAATGCCGGTGGTGTTGAAATGAAAAAGTCGGTTTTTGTCCTACTAAGAACACGAGGAACTTTCACCAATTTTGCATTGTTTCATTTGCTACTCTGTAAAAACTTTGTCTGACACACTAATTATTTGCAGAGCCACGTACTGAACGAAAAAGAACAACACTAAATAATACTTCACACAGAAGTTAATTCGTTTGAAGCAATCGGATTTTATTCAGTTCCGTAGTTAGTCCAAAATTTGTCAGTGAAACGTTGATTTTGTTGAGCAGTTTAGTTCAGAATTGATTCTAATGGTCAGCGGACTGGTTTGCACTGGACTGGATCTTGCAGTCTTGCTTAATGTTGCAAAAAAACCAAGTCCATGTAGTCTTTGGTCTTGTTTTGCTCACCACTAGTTGACTTCATTTAATCGGAAGAATTGGCATCGTTGAAACTGGTGGTTTTTTTGGGCTTTTTAATACTACTGGCAAAGCTTGGACATTTTTGGGGGATATCCATAGTTTGTGTATATAGAGAAAATATGCCTTCAAAATATCAAGAGGTTCATGTTGGGCATTGGCCCTTTCAGAATAATTTTGCTCAATGCCGATACATTTGGAAATATTCTTCGACAAATAAGCATCAAAGCCACCAGCTAATTCAATTATGTTTTTTCAGTTAATTCGAGTGAACAAGGGGACCGAAGCGACTGGAAAGCAACATTCATCCAGCGCTTGCCTCACAGAATGAGCTGGCCAGAAAATTGACTTTTAATCCAAAACGAAACAGATAATCATCGAGCTTAACAAGCGACAAAGTAGCAACACGTTGAGTGAACAATCGCAGTCATGCAGGGCTAATTAAAAACAATTGGCGGAAACGAGAGAGACGAGGACATCAGATCAGAAAAACAGTCGCAAAGAGAAAGAATGTAAAGGATGGGAGTTACCGCGCGCACTTTTCCAACGGCTGCGGTCCACACTTACTACCACAGCAACGCGTGATTTTTCATCACATTTGCGCGTCAGCTCGGCTAGCCATTTGTTTCTCTCTCTGGAAATCTCTCTTGAAAAATCCGCGCCATAATATGCATTAACGAAGTTTTTGCGCGAAATGCCGCTGCTGCTGACGAGAGCATCCGCGATTTAAAGTGCCACCCCGCAATTAGTGAGTTGCATAAAATGCACTTGGCTAGTGAAGTGAGTTCTACCACCGGCCACTACGACAGAAACTATGGTAACCTGACTGCCGAGATGCTGGCTGAAAGAACAATTGATGGCCTGCTGGCGGAACATCCGGGAGAACTTGTTCGAACTGGAAGTCCTCATGTTGTTTGTACCGTGTTGCCTCCGCATTGGCGGTCGAACAAAACACTGCCGATGGCCTTTAAAGTCGTTGCGCTTGGAGAGGTGGGGGATGGTACCATGGTCACTGTCAGAGCTGGTAACGACGAAAACTACTGTGCAGAGCTGCGGAACGCGACAGCCATCATGAAGAACCAGGTGGCCAAGTTCAATGATCTCAGATTTGTCGGACGAAGTGGAAGAGGTAAGGGTAAGAACTTTTATACTTACAGTAGCTAGATCATGCTTAGGTGGACGATCATACTTAGAGAAGGACGCAGAAAAATACTCTAAGACATTATTCAATCTATATTTAAGTTCCATTCTCATGAAGTCTTCAGCTTCATTAGTAATTTTCATCTGTGTCCATGTCTTCGGACCCAATCTGCATGTAGCAGCCTAACTGGAAACTGTTTTGGTCTACCGTAAGTGCCGCTCAAATTCGAAAAATCTTGCGACTTCAAATTTTTCAATCAAAGAGCTTTTAACTCAAGTTTCCAAAATAGACACAAATGCTTATTATTGAGTCAGGTGTAAACATCTACAAACCCCTTCACAAATGGCCCGACATGACGGTATTCCCAAAGACTAAATTTGATGTGGAAACTCCCAGATGAAATGTTTTCTTGAAACTTCTGCATTTTTAACATTGCCTCAGTTACAAACGCTCTTAGTGACACTAATTGATTTTAATTTTTTGGGACCCAATTATTTATTTTTTACAAACTTCTTTTTGGGTATTTTGCCTCAAAAATTTTTGTCTTTAAAAAAGACAGAATTTCCTCACGTCTTTTATTACAGATTGATA